GCACGGCTCCTGCCCCCACCCGGCGCGCTCCTCGACGACGACGACGACGACGACGACGACGACGACGACGACGACGACGACGACGGCGACGACGACGACGACGACGACGACGACGACGACGGCGGCGACGACCACGACAACGACGACGACGACGACGACGACGACGACGACGACGACGACGACCGACGACCGACGACCGACGACCGACGACCGACGACCGACGACCGACGACCAGCGGCCGACGACCGAACACCGACGACCGACGACCGACGACAGACGACGACGACCACGACCGACGACGACTCACGAGACGATGACGGCTGCAGTGGCGGCGGAGATAGCGACGACGACGACGACAACGACGACGACGACGACGACGACGACGACGACGACGACGACGACGACGACGGCGACGACGACGGCGACGGCGGCGGCGGTGGCGACGGAGGATGAGGAGGAGGAGGAGGAGGAGGAGGAGGAGGAAGAGAAGGAGGAGGAGGAAGGGGGAGTGGGAGGAGGAGGGGGAGAGGAAGGGAGGAGTTGGGCGAGGAGGATGGAGAAGGAAGGACATGGGTGCAGGAGAAGCGGAAGGACTTGAAATGCACGTAAGAGGCTCTAGGAATTCGTGGAGATTAATCGGGGGGCAGCGGGTTGCATGGAAAGAGGAAAGATGATAAGAGAAGCGGTGATAAGGAGGGGGGAAGAGGGAGGGAGGGGAGGGACGTGGGAAAAGTATGGGGGAAGACAAAGCAAAAGGAGGGATCCGAATGCCCAAAACATAGCATCACCCTCCTCAACTTCCCTCCGTCCATCCCCTCCCGCATTCTTCTCTTCCGCCACCCTTACCCATCCCCCGTCCCTTCCTTCCTGTGCTCATATTTCCATATTTCGCTCCTCCCTCCCTCCCGCCTTCCCTCCCGCCTTCCAACTGCCCCTCTAGCATACCTGTCCCTCCCTCCCTCCCCCTTCCGTCCATCCCTCTCCCATGTCTTCCATCCCCTCCCGCCGTCCCCACCCGCCCCCATCAATATATCCATCCTCCCTTCCTCCCTCCCTTCCTCTCTCGCTCCTCCCTCCTTCACTCCTCCCCACCTCCCTCATCCTCCATCCATGTCCCTTCCTTCCCTTCCCCCCCCCACCACCCCTTCCCGCCCATCCGTCCTGCCTCTGTCCCCCCATTCGCTCATCCCTCCCCCCCTCCCTCCACTTCCCCTCCCACCGTCCCTCCGTGCTACCTCTTCTACCCCCTTCCCCTGTCCTTTCCCCCCCCTCCCTCCTCCCTCCATCCTCCATCCCACCCTCCCTCATTTCCCCCCTCCCCCCTCCCCCCCCTCCCCCCCCTCCTCCCTCCTCCCTCCTCCGTCCCACCCCTCCCCCTTTCCCCCCTCCCCTCCGAAGCGATCGGAAATCTATCCATAGCCCTGCCCACGCCAGGGCAAAAACAAAATCCGGCCCCCAGAGACCTGGCCGATCGCCCGCACAGCAACCCCCCGACGCCCCAAGTGGGAGGCAGCTGCGGGCGCATGGACAGAACGTCGACCGTGGAGGCCTCCCCTCGACTACACGCCCGAGTGACCCCAGGCAAGAGTGGCCTTCGGTGCGCGGCCCCAGGGGGCTGCGGACAGGCCAGGTCCGAGCGCGCAGGCAAGCGCCGGGGGGACTCCCGTGAGCCCGCGCATCCAGAGGTAACTCTGGCGAAGGGCCACCCTGGCGCGCCGCCGATCCCCTCCCCTCCCCCTTCGCCGGCCCGCCCCCTCCCCCCTGGGTGCTGCTGGAGGTGCCCCATGGCCCGAGGTGTCCCCAGGACTCCCGGGGAGTCCCCCACGGCCTCCAGGAGCGCCCCTCTCCAGGCCCAGAGGGGGCCCCAGGGTCTCCAAAGTGGAGCGACAAGCTGGGGGCACCTCGGGCCAGGGGCACCTCGAGGAGCCACCGGCCCCCCGCACTCGTCGCGGGCCTGGCGCCCCCACCAGCTAGCTCTCGGGGCGGCGGCCTGGGGGGACCCGCCCGGCGAGCCCACCGCCCGTGCGCGCGAGGGCGAGGCCAGCGCCTGCGCAAGGCGGGGCAGGCCTCCCCCGCCCCCAGCGCGGAGCCGGGAGGCACAGCTCGCGCCCGAAGGGGGGGGGGGGGTCGGAGCCAAAACCGTGTGGTGCTTCTGCGCGGGTCGATCTCCCCCCCGCCCGAAGCCCTTCCCATGTGAAAACACCCTGCTCCACGCCCTCCGCGCGCCAACGCGATCTGCATTCATCTCCCCCCTCAGACGCATTCGTCGTCGTCGTCGTCGCCGTCGTCGTCGTCGTCGGCGGCGGCGGTGGCGGCGAGCCGTCGTCGGCGGCGCGCCGTCGTCGTCGTCGATGTCGACGACGACGTCGGTTGTCACCGTGAGCCTGTTGGGATTGGTCCGCTCAGAGGCGGGCAGCGCATCTCCGAGGCCGCTTTCGACACCGCCCGCCGCGCTGCCCCCCCCGCGGGCGCCGCTCCTCCCCGGCGGGCGCGGCCCCGGAGCTCTCGTGGCACTCCTCGGCGCTCTTGCCCACGCACTTGACTTCCCTGGCCGCGCCAAGAGGCGCCGGCGGGGTTCAGAAGGGCGGTGACCACACTGCGGTTCGGCAGAAGCGTGGGGGCGGGTGCGAGGCGTGGATTTATCCATATCCACCGCCTGGGAATCGATGTTCTGGTGCCCCGGCGGACGGTGGATATGGATATACGTTGGCCCCCCGGGGCCCGAATATGTCCATATCCACCGCCTGCCGAGGCTCCGAAAACTGACCCTCCAGGCGGTGGTCATGTACTAATTCCCGCCTCGACGTGGCCAGGGGTCTGCGGCGCTCCTCGCGCGCGGTGGGTGCCCGCGACGGGCGTCGAGTCGGGGCCCTTGGCGGGGGGGGCCTCCCCCCCGTGCTCCTCACGAAGCTGGAGTGGGGCCTCCTGGGCCATCTTGGGGCAGGCATGGGCCCTCTCGGGGCCACCGTGGGCCGTTTTGGGGCCCTCGTGGAGCCACCGTCGCCCCCAGTCTTTTCGGACGCGCCAGCGTGCCCGACTTTGCGTCGAGAGATTGCGCAAGCTATCGGACCAATTATTCCCCGGACCACTGTGGAAACACTGGGAGGAACCCGCGATGGAGAAAGGGAGAGAGAGGGAGAGCAAGAGAGAGGGTGAAAAAAACATACAAAACACTAACTTTAGAGGTGGACGACCTGATGAGAACCTCCTGGATCACCCCCCTTTGGAAAATGTGTCCCCCCTCCCAGATCCCAAAACTCTCGCCTCCTGGCGGCCCCAGCGCGCTCTCTTGGCGGCCTGTGTTCTGAACCACCGCCGCCCCCAGCTCTACTGGACGCACCTATGTGGGCGAACTTTGTGTTCAGAGCTTGAACTACCTATCGGAGGATGCGGTCCCCGAGACTGTGTGGAAACGCATGAGGAAATCCGCGGAGGAGAAAGAGAAAAAGGGAAAGATGAGGAGAACTAAAAAGGAAGAGCAACCCTGTTGAGAGCCTCCTGGAGGACCCTTAAGGCCTCATGGAGCTTCTCGTGGGCGTCGTTGGATTAGTAGTACGGGCGTTTCAGTTATCTGCGCGCCGATGCTGTCCGATCGCGGGCATCCGACTATGGTTTCAACAAATGCACGTTCAGACGGCCAAGCCAAACGGACGGTGCGGCACAAACAGGAGGCTGCTTAAGCGCCGACGGCGACCGATAGCGACACAGTGGAAACCTTAAGGAACAGTGCGCCACGGCAGGAACTTGCATGTTCGCCAATGGCGTCCGATAGCGGCCAACAGGAACTGAGGCCAGACGATGCACGCCAAAACGGCTAAGCCAAATCGGACGCTGCGGCACAAGAAGGCGGCTGCTTAAGCACAAACGGCGACCCGAAGGCGAAGGCGCAACAAACGGCACTGCCGTGACGTCGGTGCGGCACTGCCGCGAGAGGCTCCCGAAACGGCCCCCAGAAGGCCCTAAGACGGCCCAAGAGACCTCCAAGACGCCCGAGATGGCCTTCAAGACGGCCCCGAAGCGCCTCAAGAGGGCCCCAAGAGGGCCCAGTGAGGCTCCCAAGACGGCTTCCGACGGCGTCAGACGGGCCAGGAACGCCGTAAGACGGCCAAAGAGGCCCCCAAACAGACCCCAAAGGCCCCCAAAAGGCCCAAGGCGGCCCCCCCAAGAGGCCTCCAAGAGGCCCCCAGGAAGCTTCCAGGAGGCCTCAAGAATGATCCAAGAAGCTCCCAAGAGGTCTCCTCAGCCCTCCCTTCATCCTCCTTGTTCCTCCCTCTCCTCATCCACCTCGTCCTTCCCCACATGTTTCTTGCAGGGCTTCCACCACGGCTGGGGGAAAGCATGGTTCAACAGCGTGAACAAACTTTACCCAAGCGTTTGGCCACACGGGTGTCTACTTAAAGGCAGGGGGCAGCGGTGATTCGCCATAGGCGTCCTCGGGGGATGAAGAGAAAAACAAAACAAAAAACACGCCTGTATGTATGACTATCAGGAAATATGTATGAGCGCAGTGACCCTGGAAACTGCTGAAACCAGACCATGGCATGGCAGAATGCTAAAATCAGACGCAAAAGCTGAAATACATCAACCTGTCGACAACGGCAAGAGGCTCTGGCGAGATTGATCGGCGAGAGGCCGATGAGGCATTTAATGAGGTGTCCAAATCAGCTCGGCACGCTGGTCTTCCGAACAGAGAGTAGCAAGCAAATGTGAAGCACGCCAATGGTGAGAAGAGCGAGCTGGAAATAACAAATGGAAATTCAGATTGACATGTGTGGCAGCCTCGTGCGAGTGCCGCTGCCACAAGTGTTGGAACATGCGGACCACCTTGCGAGAGAATAGACGAAAGAGCAACCAAGTCCGAGCATTGTAATCAAACGTACGAATACCATGTACGAGGCGACTGACATGTCCAGGACATGATACACTCTTGTGAATGGGCACGGAAGATAATGTCTGTGAGTACGCATGCGTGTTAACATGCGTACACGCATCAGCCTATC